GGAGGAGGAGGAGGAGGAGGAGGAGGAATCGGTGTGGAGGCGGAAATGCGGGGAATGCGGTCGGCGCGAATGCCGAGGTCGGGGTAATTCTCAATTCCCCAATTTTGTGACCTTTGACTTTGGTGAGTATATCATTACTCGGTGGTTAACTCAATCTGACTGATGTCATCGAAAGTAACTACCTCTCTTTTTCGTCCCAAGGTACAGAGGTACAGACTTTGGGTCTACATCACGGCGATCTATACTAAGGTACAGTGCGCATTGCGCATTTTGGCTAGTCGCCCGATTGGGAAATGCCGAGGTCGAGCCTTCCCCTCGAACTAATTACTAACTCATATTAAATCACCACAGTCCACTATTGACTATCCTTCTTAGCTCTGTCAAAAGCTCCTCCGCCGTTATACGACGCTTCCACTCTCCATCATTATTATGGCCCTCTTGCTCGCATAAAGATCTTGTAAACATATTCAGCGGACCCTCTTTCAAATCACCACCAAACAAGTCTACCAAAGCTTGTTTGACCTTGGATGGCTTGGCGGCGTCAACCACAGTCCTCCACACCAGCATACGAAAGTCATGACTGGACATGCTATCGAAAGCCAACTGAAGCAGAGCCATACCCATCGCGAAGACATCAGGGCTCATAGGATCAAACGTTTTTCTCAATAGGATTTCTGCTACGAGTTAGCGGTCTCAGCTGTTATCACGTACAACACTACCAGGAGAGAAAGAAGAAGGCAGAGTTGTCACCCACCCTGCGAGAGATACCCCGGCGTCCCCGCGCTACCGCGAACATACCGCGAACGAGTGATCCGATCCAGGTCCGATATCAGGACGCGCATCTCTCCGGTCGATGTGCGGTCATATACCATGTTTCCGAGCTTTAGGTCCTGGTGCGCGAAGCCCTGTCGGTGGAGCTGGACCAGCGCTTCGACCATCTGCAGCATGACGGGCAGCGTTTGTCGTGCCCGGTTGGCGGGCGGCAGTTCGTTTGCCCACAGTTGCAGACTGCCGCGTACCCTCGGCATGACCATCGCGTAGACGGCTCCATTATGCGCCTGGGTGTCGTTGGGCTGGGGGATCGTGAAGGTAGCGGTGGCCCTGATAACGTGGTCGCCCTGCACCAGATTCATCATATGGGCCTCCCATAGCAGCCATGGATCGTGCGAGACCTTGACTGCCACGTCCTACTGACCCAGGAGATCCAGCTGGTGGTTGGATGCGTCACTCAGCGGTATCCAGGTGCCCCCGTAGACAAATCCACTGGCGCCGTGCCCTAGGATATCCTCCTGGTCTATCTCGAGTCGGACTCCGCCAGTGAACACCGTCGTTTGGTAGGGATCCGCGTCTTCCACAAGTTCGGACGAGGGAACACGAGACTCGAGGTCCGCGACCAAGACCTTTCGGGCTGTCAAGCCGGTAGAGGTCTGGCGCCGCTGCCGATAGCTCTTGTACGTTTCCCAGGAATCAATGCACTCGGGCACTTTTGGCCCTGGTGGGATGCTTGAACTACTATGTGGCTCCGAACGTGAGGTTGACGATGCAGATCCGAGCCAACTGAGTGACAGCTTGGAGAGACCGATGCTGGTTATCAGCAGAAGCACAGACCGCTTCAGCATCTTCAGACAGCTGTAGGTTGCCTTTTCAAAAGAGAGAACAGCAGGTGAGTACGGGAGCTTGCCTAATCCCCTTTTCGGTCCTCAACAGCGGGCTTCATATGACCACAGGTCAGTCCATTATCGATCTTGAATAACCCGAGAGACCAGGCCTTAACTTATAGCCATATTATCATAGTTCATTACTCTTGCAGGGACATGATTGATGAATGGGGCTCTTTCTTTCCCGGAAAGGTCGAGTTTGTGCTACTGACGCATCTTGATCTTTCTGAACAGGGTTGCTTGCCTTTTCGAAATTACTTGTGTCTCTCTGACAATCTGAGAACATGCAGGATCTTCCGAGGTGTCAGATAGGAGAAGTCACATCCGCTGATCATCAGGAAACTGATCATGAGTCTCCGTAAGTTACGCCGTACCCCGTATTGAATTGGCATCTGCAGTCGTACGACTTAACAAAAAGATCATTGAAGTCAATCACTCGAGAGCACCAAGTACCGGTACTGTGCTTCGACCTACTTCCTTCCCGAGTGCCAGGTGGGCGCATAACGTACCTACTGGCACGGTAGATACATAGTCGATATCATGCATCGATGGGTCAATAATCAAGTATTCTCTGCATAAACTGCCGCACGACATATCGGCACTATTTATGATCGACTTGTCATATCTCGTCGTGATAGGATTCATCAAACATGACTGCGGTTCCTAGTATATACAACACCGAAACTCCAGGAATTGGCAACTTCCCACTTCACCTTCGCAGTTCACCCGTCCTCATCTCTCGTTCTTCATTGCAACTTTCGTGCCATTACCCACCGCCGACACACAAGATGCAGCTCGTCTATCTCGTAGTCATGCTTGGTGCGTTGGTAGCAGCCGGCTCAGCCGACCCGCATCACCAACACGCTGATGAAGGAATTTTGTCACTGGCTGGAGCAGCGCTTTACTGAAGATTGTACAGTACCACAGAGGGAGGTAAGACATCTTACAGGGTAGTGATGCTGGAATCAACCCTTCGATCTATGTTCTGTACCTAGTAGGTAGTTAGTTAGTTATATGTAAGGCACGGAGAACAGTACAGTACCGTACGTAGTTTAATAAATGTCTGAAGTCGATCTCCGATAATTCGACGAGTGGCAAGCGTACTTTGGTGTAGGGATAGAGAGCATGACTGAGTGCCATGGTCAGCTCGTCTGTTGGGATCGTATATGCCACAGCACGTGACGGCATTTCCAGATTGGATTCGTCCGATATCAACAAACCGGACAGAGGAATCTACAACATTCTCACCAGAGATCCCCAAGAAATGCCAATACAAGCCAGCAAGTTTTCGAGTTTCCTGGTATTTCTCAATTGTTCAAGGCTGCATACAGTCGCACATCGATCATTGTTCACTACGACGGTCAAGAGGGAGCGCGATCCGAACCCACGATTAGCAGGTATTAACCCCCGTGTTAGTTGGCTGCTCTGCAGCGAGTATCGACATAGCTCACCATCTCACACCCGTAGAATGCGACCTCGAGACCCTCTACACCTACTCCGCGCAATGCTGGCTCTGGAACGAAACCCAGCAGCTGCAGCGCAGATATCGTGCGTTTGACCTCCCTGCTCTGATCTACGTCGCCGAGCAAGCCGCCGGCAACAATGCCGTGTGCGCCTCCATCTCCAAACTCCCCGAAGGGAACTTGGACAAAGCGTTGCTGGCGACCATGCGGGATGGCCGGGAGCTCGTGGTCAAGATCCCCAATCCGAACGCCGGACCGGCCCACTATACCACTGCATAGGAAGTAGCGACGATGCGATATGTGAGTCTCTGTTCCGGATCCAATCACAGACCCAGCACATATAGTAAATCTAACATCCACTTTCAACACCCACGAAGGCAAGAGAGAACCTCCACCTCCCCGTCCCGCAAGTCCTAGCGTATTGCTCCCGGGCCGGCGACAGCCAGCTAGACGCGGAGTACATCGTGATGGAGAAAGCCCGCGGGATCGAGCTGAGCCGTGTGTGGGAGACTCTCAAGCCGCGCGAGAAACTGTCCATCGTCCAGCAACTCGGCTCAATCACTTCTCGACTTTCTTCGGGGAGGTTTCCAGCCCACGGCTCGTTGTACCTGCGCGAGGACGTCGCCAAGTCCGAGGCTCTCGCCGGTGACGATGTCTTCGCGATCGGACCAACCACCAGCCGAGCATGGTTTGACGACCAGCGAGCGGCGGTGGACATCCATAGAGGCCCCTGTAAGCGCCACCCTCTACTAGCCCCCTATACAAACCCTCGCACATAAACTAAAAGCATCTCAGGGCCGAGCACGAAGGACACCATCCACGCCCTAATCCAGCGCGAACAAGCCTACATCCACCAACTCCCCAGCTTTCCTCGAGACCACCAACAGGGCATCTTCAACGGACCCGGTGGATATTACCCCGCAAAGCAAACCAAGCTGTCGGTTTTGCAAGACTTCCTAAGTATATATCACCACCTCCTTCCCAAAGATGAAGCCCTCAACCAGGGCATACTCTGGCACAACGACCTCAATCTGGACAACATCTTCGTGAACCGCGACCATCCCACCGAGATCACCGGCATCATCGACTGGCAAGCGGTCCCCATCTCCCCGATGTTCCTGATCGCCCACCACCCGTCCCTCATCGAGTATGACGGGCCGAAGCCTGAGCGGTTTGTTCGGCCGAGACTTCCGGAGGGTATCGATGCCCTAAACCCCGCTAGAGAAGAAGGCGGCCGCGGAGATGTTCCTCGCGCAGACGCTGTGGCTTTACTACGAGACGCAGTTGTACAAGGCAGCGCCGGACTTGTTGCATGCATTTAGATACCGCGAGACTGTGCAGTCGGATCTACTAGGTCTGGCGGGATCGGTTTTTGATGACGGGGAGCCGCATGTTCGGAGGTTGGGTGCGATTGTGGCGGGGGATGGGGTCTGGAGGCAGCTGGTTGGGATGGATGAGTGCGGAGCTCCAGTGGTGGCGTGTCCCTTGAAGTACACCGAGCGGGACTTGGTGAGGCAAGCTGAAGAGTACGCCAGATGGGAGGGAGTTGTTGAGAGGAAAGCCCGGGTGATCGAGGAATTGGGGGTGTATCCGGGGTGGAATAGCGCTGTTCCGCCTGGTGACTATGATGAGATGGCCAGGAGATTGGAAGTGGCTAAGAAGAGGTTCTTGGATCGGTAATCGAGGACCCCTGAGGAACGGAGAGTGTGGGAGAAGACTTGGCCGTTCGAGGATAAGGTTGAGTGATGGAAAGATGCGTTGGCTACGACTCATACTTTTCCTCCCGACAAAAGCATAGAAAGGTAAACTGTATCCTCATTCAATTACTGTCTAGATCTTTGAAATCCATCGAGCTCAAATTTGTAGATGACGGTCAGGAAGCATCCCCGATATGCACAAACCTCCGCTGACCCCGACCTCATTCCACCTTCGGCGTCGTGACATGCGCGTGCCCACCAGTCTCCTCTGTTACTTCTTCAGAGGCCCGACCCGCCTCGCCAGTCTCTACGATCTTCTCAGCCGCAGAAGACCTATCTCCACCAAAGACATGCTGCATCTCCTCTAGGGAGTATTGCGAAGTCTATGTCCCGAAGCAATAAATTAGCTTACTCGAGATCACACGCCGATTTAAAAGCCAAGAGACAAATAAAAACGTACCTCTTTCAAAAACACATACGCGTAGACCACCACCGCGTAATTGAAGATGGCAAACATCAGGAACATCCGCCACCCGATGTTATCGATCGCATGCGGCGTGATCTGCGACATCATGAAATTGAACAACCACTGCGACGCCGCCCCCACCGTGACCCCGATCTCCCGCATGCGGCTGCTGAAGATCTCCCCGACGTAGAGCCAGGGGAGCGGACCCCAGGACATGTTGTAGCTGAAGGCTTCGCAGTAGGTCATAAGGATCATGGCGATGCCGGCCGGGGAGGCGTGCGTAGCTGACGCGTTGGTCGGGTGGGTGGCGAGCACGCAGGCGATGATGAGCATGAAGGAGCCCATGGCGGCGGCGCCGACCATGAACGGCCAGCGGCGGCCGACGCGGTCGAGGACGAAGAGCTGGAAGACACACACGCCGACCACTTTGACCAGCCCGAAGAAGCCCGTCACGAGCTTGCTGGAATTGCCGGCCCCGACCGCTGAGAAAATCTGGGTCGCGTAGTATGCCAATGACGTATTGCCCGTCAGTTGAGCGGCGAGCTGAATGGTGAAGGCGATGAACAGGCGGTACCGGTTTGCCGGGAGGAGCAGCTCGCGGAAAGTGAAGCCCTCCTTGATGCGGGCTTCCTCCGCGATGCCGGCCAGGATCTCGTCGAACTCCTGTTGGAGCTCCTCGGTCTCCTCGCCGCCGCGGACCCATTTGAGCGATTCCCGGGCTTGGTCAATCCTGCCTTTGGACGCGAGCCAGCGGGCACTCTCTTTGACGGCCAACATCCCGAACAGAAGGAGGGAAGAAGGCAGCAATTGCAGACCGAGCGCGATCTGCCATTGTTTGGTTGCGGACGGCTGATCCTTGGCCACAGCGTATGTCACCCAGTATGCGATCATGACCCCCAGAGTGAAGAAGAGCTGGAAGCATGCCCCGAGCCGACCCCGAAACTCTTTGGGCGACATCTCGGCCGCGTACACCGGAATCAATACAGTAGCAGCTCCAATGCCGAGTCCGGCGATAACACGACCAGCATAGAAGGTGCCCAGCGTGTGGGAATTGACGACCTGCAGGATGGTGCCAACAGTAAAGACCAAGGAGCTGACAATGAGCCCAAGTCGTCGACCGAGATACTTCGCAATGGGAGTCGTGAAGAAGCAGCCGAAGAAAGCGCCTGCTTGAAGGATGGAAACAGCATTGGAATTCACCGAGGTCTTCTGAGCTGTAGTATATCCGAAATCATTCTGAAATGAGGATAGGGTGAGGACGCCGCCTGATGTAGGGAACTGTATGAGTATCCAAAGATTACACTATTAAGCTTGAGCATGGTATCACCCACTGATGACACCGGTGTCAAAGGCGAAGGCAAAAGAGCCCATGCAACTAGCAGACACCAGGCAAATAGCCCGGAAGAGACCAAGCTTTCGCCCCATCGTGATGGCTCAATCGCTGGCCAGCTGGTTCGTGTACAGGTCGAGATCGGCGTGCTCAAGCCAGAAGAGTCCCGAGAGAAATGAGAAGCAGACAGCGCAAGAACGGTGCTTATATAGAACCGGCCGAGAAGCCGGACATAATGGGAATCTCAAGTTATACCCCTGTCATTCCGTGATTGTCGCTTGCGTGCTCCTCGTGCCAGGGCCGGATTGGGCGATGATAGTAGGCTAGGGATCCGTTCATTCATCCCAAATATCTCTTGCCTGTCGTGCAATCAGATAACAGACTACGCGGTGTCAGTGCGGGAAGGCCCCTGTGTATGACTTGTCTGACCAGGCCTTGTCTGCCGTGTCCCCCACTATCAAGTCATAGACGCAGCTCTAGTGTAAAAAAGCTGTCAGTGAGAGTTCAAGCTTGAGTCTTGATGCGCTCGACTCTGGGCTGGTGGTTGGCTCTGGATTGGCACAATCTGGGTGTCGATGACGTGATAGCCATCGTGACGGTTGCACCGAAGAGCCTTGGCCAGGATGACAGTGGTTCAAAAGGGTTGCGACGAGTTTGTGGTTTTTTCACGTCTGGATGGAAGTCATCAAACAAGACTTCCAAGCCGGAGCTTCGAAATCTTAGCCATCGAAGCAGCGACCACCTTTGGTCTGGGATTGCTTGCTGGCATCGAAAGAGATCACGATTGATAGACTACCCCGCAATCAAGAGATCGACATGTGAGATGCACATGATTGGCGGGGCTGAAGTTGGGGCTGGATCACCTGGAGTGGATAAGGATAATCAATTCTGTAGCTGCTCATGTACTCCGGAGTAAGATCACTGAAATGGAGGATGAAGATAATCATAATCAAGATGGTGAAGCATAGTAGGCGGGTGTCTGGTGGCCTGGCAGGAGAAGCCTTCTTCCACCCAATCGAGGCAAAGGTCAAGATATAACTCTGCGTTTATTTGACTGTGACATCACGATAGTGAGCCAGAAGCTTTATCCAGGTTTGTAATAAGTGAGGTGGAATGTGCTACAAAATTGATGAACAGTAGGGTGATTGATTGTGAATTAGTATAAGATGATGGTTACTGCCTATTTGCACATCCTCTTCCCAAAAAGGATAAGCTTATCACCTGATCTTCAACTTTGATGCCTAAGGCATGAAGCCGCCAGGCTGCAATGGTGCCTCGGCTCAGGGGCGAGGATAAGAAAAGGTCCGCGGAGTCTTCAACACGGAGCCCATCTACTCTCTGCTCCGAGGCTGTCGGCGTCAAGCAAAGAAAGGCTAGACTAGTCCGGATGCCTCCGAGAAGAACTTGAGTCTAGTCAAGCTTATTATTAATTTATTTCCTGCACGAGCTCACCAACGTGAAGCGCACCAGGATTGTACTACTGCATCCTTGCAGGTTCCACCTCTGAGAATAGCATCGTCGGGCCTAGCCCCCAAGTCCCTAAAGCCGACTGCGCAAAGAAGGCTGTGTCTACGAGGATAAGGGTGAGCCAAACGGGAACAGTCAACAAGCCGAAGCCATCAGTACGGGTAATACGATGGATGCCGAGCTTTGTAGCACAAGACACTTGACTCAATAGCTCCCTGGATGGAGGCCACACTCCAGGAACGATACGATCGAGTGACACAGAGAAATTGGAAACAGTGCCACCAACAAACCGTTCAATGCTTAAGGGTCGAAGTCAGTATGACTCGTTCAACATGATCGGGAATTCCGGCGCGGATCTGCATAACATGGGTGAATGACCTCAGATCCAAAACATAAACACAAATATGGGTTTGAATTTGGACGGAATGAGATTATGTCCCGTAAACCAAAACTGAAGCGACTATGGATGAACGGTGGTTTTGAATATGCTTCACACGCGAAGATCGTCACTTGCACCACATGGGTGCGGGTCTATCTCGTCATATCCAGTCGATTAAGCTTGAGGTGCTTCTGCAGTTGAGTTTGCCTCTATCGACGCTTGATGCTTCCGTCCGTTCCAGAAGGCGTTGTTCCCAGAGACGCTTCGATTCATCAGCTAGAAAGACAAAGGAAACTTTAATCGGCAATTTGGCGGAACTCTTTTCCCTTGCCACCTTGCGCAAACTGGGTCCCTCGAGAAAACAAAAAAAAAAGTCACTGGTTGCTCGATCACTGTTCATTCTGTATCCCCAGTCACCGGAAAACTGAAAGCGTTGAACTCCCTCCCCGGCGAGACCGACCAAAAAAGCAGATCATGCAGATCGCAGGACAGAGGAGATAAGATAGGGACATCCTCCGCAAACCCCAAATTCAGGTCCTTGTCGAGTTGTCGCAGCAGAGACGGGCCAACATACCGTTCGGGCAAGCACCGGCCGGTGCAGAGCCGGGTTCGATCGATGGATTCATGGGTGTTGGCGCGCAGTGGCCACTGCGTAAAAAGTTTAATCAGGCTGGGTGGAGACACCGCACGCTCTCCCTTGAACCTCCCTCCCTCCCTCCCTCCCTCGCTCCACGGTTCCGTATGCCAATAGATCGCTACTGTTTCCATGGTTCACGACTGAGACATCCTGCTTTTCAGGGCATCGGCTGGCTGTCACTTGCTCTTGGGAAATGACACGGTGGGGGTGGCTTATAGCCAATCCCGCTGCCATCACCATCTCAATCTCCAGGGCTGACAAGCAAAAACAGGAAAATAGCAATTTTAATGCCTCAGGTGTATAAATTTCTCCCAAAAGTGAAACCAAATTCATTAAGCATAGTCGTAGACTGCCTACCATGACAGTTGTGCCCGTCGTCATCAGTATGGTATTCTAGATATCGCACATGGCCAGAAGAGGAAAGACATTATCGGAAAATAGGGACCGAAAAGGAAGAGAAAGAAAAGATAGAAATCTAAAGAGCGAATGGTCTCGTCAAAGTAGGTTGTTCAGTGCTCGTTCATCGTCCAAAAGATGACCCATCAGACACTACCGAGATGTCGACTTGTTTCGTAATACCACGGCCGGCCTCCAGCGCTGAGTTCTGCTGGTAGGCCTCACGCAGGATTTGTTCGACGCTGTCGGCGTCATCATCCCTCCGTTCCTGATTCTGTGATGGCGCAGTGCCATTTTTCGTATTGCCTTTGTTGCCGCTGAAGGGTCCAGTGAGCTCGTAGGAGCGTGACTTGGCATTGCTGGAGAATTTCCTCACAGAGGAGATCAAAAGTGGTCGGATACAAGGGATGGATGAGGTCATGATGATGATCACGTTCTCAGTGTAACCCCAGCGGATCAGTTCCACGCCTCCGGACGCGCCAATATTGGTCACACTAGGCACTTGGTCGAGCTTGGTGGTTTTGATAATAGACGCAATCATAGCGCTGGTGGTGCGGTCTTAGCGCGAGCCGATCAAACGAGGAATGATCCACTTACACAATACCCAAACTCAGCAGGATGATCAAACTGATCTTGATGCGAAGTTTTAGATTCAGGTTCCAAAAGATCACAGTAGGGAAAACTGCCAGGAACAAGTCGGTCGCGGTATTGATGGCTGGTTCAAACAATCAGTCCAGAGTTTCGGTCAAATGTGTAGGGGATCAGATGCGTACAGGACTGGAAGTAGGCAAAGCGAATGACCGCAACCGTGTTACCGCAGGTAGTCTCCGTTCCGGGAACCCATAATGCTCGGACATTGCGGCAAATGCTGAGTGGTAAAACGGCGGCGATGATGTTGCAGACTAGCTGCAGCATCATGGCTGTCCAGAGCGCGATCTGGTATGGTTTCTTTCCGCCAAGGATTCCGAGCAAGTAGAGAACGAACGACGAACGGGCAATTCCGGTGCTGAACGTGACGAGCGGTACCTGAATGGCAATGTCTTTCAACACTGCTTCCAAATCTGACAGTTCCAGACTCTCGAGGTCTTTGCCAAAGCCATGCCGGACGGAATTGGTTAAAAGCCCCATGGAAGAGAGGGTTAGAATCTGAGACGGAGACAGACATCACATTAGAGGTAAATTGATAGCAAAAAGGCCGCAGGTGAATCACTTACCAGGGCCGCAATCATCAGCACATCGTCAATGTGGAAGTGACGAATTTTGATTTTAGCGGCGATGCGGAGAATGAGGATGAATGTGGTGATGCCGACGGCCGCCCAGAGACCACTCAACAGGGCCGGGCCGGCATTCGAAGAACTGTCGGAACTCATCTTGACAAGGAGCACATCCTGGCAACCCTCATTGCTTCAGTGCCAGGTACGAGGTAGATATATCTCCGGAGGGTTGAAAACGCCGAATTTGGGGTTGGAGTTTTATAAGCTTTCGGTCCCAGGGGAAATACGGTTTTGTGGCCCTGTCGACGGTGACTTGGCGAGGACAAGCAAGCAGTAAGCATACGAAGCCCTGCAGTGGCAGCAGCCAACAGCAGCCATGGCAGTAGTTAAGATAATTTAAGACTGGCGTTGCCAGAGAACCGTGGCGCGGACTGGCGAGCACCCAGCCAAAATTTTCGTTCCTCCTCCAATTTCTGAGTCTAACCCTTCCCTTCCAAGTTCCGACACAGCCAATGTAACTCCAGCATGGCAGCTGCAACCCAGCGGTAATGCGGTCCCTTTCCCAATGGGCGGCTTGGTCCGATCGATGGGCAGGTCAGGTTCGGTCACTTCGATAGTAGTCTAGTGGTTCTGGGCTTCTGGGCTTCTGGGTTAGCGCCACGCTTGTGGACACAGTCACCACGAGGAGATGAGAACTTTAACCTCCCCCCTGCAGAAATGATCATCACTACCACATGGCATTGAATCCAGTAACCATGCGCAAATGACGCCAATCTAGTCTATCTTTAGGGCGCCGTTAACAACTAAGTTAAATCTTAGTCTTTTAGTCGGTGTGTTCGATCTGCAGTGTCTGCCTCCAGTCTGGATGATCTCTTGCCCCAAGCGTTGGCTTCGACAGGATGCTGGGTCCATGGAGAAGTGTGGGAGGGGGGAGGAGGAGAAAAGAGCAGTGGTGGGTCAAGGTCGAGAATGCGGCAACTGGTAGGCAGACACATCGGTGACTTCTTTCGCTTGGAAGTTTTCCGCTGTCAGTCGGAAGTCCGTGACTATGGGTACGTGGCCCAGAGGGAAGCTATCATTAGTAGAGATATCATGACCATGGTTTTCAAAATCTCTTTACCCCTGAACGTGAACACGAAGAGAAGGTCCTGGCGCTGAGCAGCTGGAAGTTGTGGTCTAGCATCGTGAGACAAGTGCCTTGCCCAATGCGGGTGCCGGAACCGAAAAACCGATAATATTATTATTCAAGGGATGACCGGATGAAATTCAAGCCCGCCTTAGCCGGATGGTGAAAGAGAAGCCCTAGCTAGTAGTAGCCAGCAGCCACCAATGACGCCCAAGGAGTTTGGCTTTTGGAATGGTGTAAAGCCTATTATGGCAGCATACCAATTGTAGGGCTCGGAAGGCGGCGGAGGGATGAAAGAGTGGATTTGTGGCATTTGATGGCTCCTTGGCACAGTGCCACAGCGAGAGAGAGAGAGAGAGAGAGAGAGAGAGAGAGAGAGAGATAGAGATAGGAAGCCAAAGATGGAATGGATGGAGGCAAGAAGCAGAGCCAGACACTGCAGTGGACACTGGACAGTGAGTGCCAGCCAGGTGGGCACTGGCAGACCTCGGTCACCACTGGAAATTGTCCCCACCAGGCCGAGTGCGGCACTTTGCCTCTTCTAGTTAGCCTGCATCCATTCAGATTGAGCGACTTCCGATTTGCCGAGCTGCGGTACACCTTCTGGCCTGAGTCCCGCTATCGAACTAGACTACTGGTAGACTCCAGGCTCCATCCAGACTCTTCCTCTACGGTCCTCGGTTCTACCACTCCCTCTCTCCTGGTTGATTCCGTTTGACTAAACTCACTAAACTCACTAACTCACTAACCTGACTCCTGCAACATTATTCTCTGCCTGGCTGTGCCTGCATCGCACCACGGATCTTCCCCACTATTCTCCGTTCCCCTCGAACTAAACGCTCTTAGGGAACATCTCCGAGATGGCCTGCTTCCAATAGCTCAGCTCGTTGGATGGATCGTGATATGGTCTGTCCGTTTAGTACTCATCAACCAGAAGTATAAAGTACCTCTACTCCCTTAATCATCTTCAACTTCACATCCCAGTCAATCCTCTAGCAGTCTTTCTACTTTTCGTCCTCACAATGAAGGCTTCCTGGGCTTTGGCAGTAGCCACTGCTGCTCTCACTTCCACGGTCTCCGCCACCGACGCCAGCGATTGCCACTGTCTGCCTGGTGATGACTGCTGGCCCTCCACTTCCAGCTGGGATACTCTGAACAGCACGGTGAACGGTCGCTTGATTGCGACTGTTCCCATCGGTACTCCTTGCCATGCTCCCAACTACGATGCTGCCGCGTGCAAGGAGCTGCAGAGCAACTGGTACTACCCGCAGACCCAGTAAGTTTACAACCCCCCTAAAGGACATGCACACGTCTTGCCGCATCAATAAAGCTAATTCCACGCCGCTTTACAGCATGGACACTTCCTCGTCTGTGATGCAAACCTACTTCGCCAACCAGAGTTGCGATCCTTTCACCTCCGTGGATAGACCTTGCCTGCTTGGCAACTATGTGGATTATGCCGTCAACGTCTCGTCTAGCGATGAGGTTGTTGCGGCTATCAACTTTGCCAAGTCCAACAACATCCGTATCGTCATCCGGAACACTGGCCATGAGTAAGTTTGTTTGCACGATGACACATGACGATCTACGGCTAACAGCAGCGTTAGCTATCTTGGTCGTTCCACCGGTGCTGGTGCTCTGGCCATCTGGACCCACCACCTGAACAACATTGAGTATGTTGACTGGTCCGATTCCACCTACACTGGCCCTGCCTACAAGCTCGGTAGCGGTGTCATGGGATTCCAGGTTCTCGATGCTGTCCACGCCAACGGCCACGTTGTGGTTGGTGGTGAGTGTCCCACCGTCGGTCTTGCCGGAGGTTATCTCCAGGGTGGTGGTCACTCTGCTCTGAGCACCTCGTTCGGTCTGGGAGCCGATCAGTCTTTGTCCTTCGAGGTCGCCACCGCTGCTGGCGATGTTGTCACAGCGTCTCGCACCAACAACACCGACCTCTACTGGGCCCTCAGCGGTGGTGGTGCCGGTAACTATGGTGTTGTTCTGTCCGTTACCGTCAAGGCCTACCCCGATGCCACCGTTTCCGGTGCTGGCGTTCAGTTCACCGCGGCCAACGTCACTACTGACGTCTTCTTCGAGGCCGTCGCTCGCTTCCACGAGCTGCTGCCCGCTATGATCGATGCCGGTACCACCGTCATCTACGAGATGACCAACAGCATCTTCCTGATCAACCCTTTGACCGGTTTCAACAAGACCACCGACGAGGTGAAGACCATCCTTGCACCTTTCCTCTCCGCCCTGACCAACCTGGGCATCACTTATGCTGTCTCCTACACCGAGTACGATTCGTACTATGAGCACTACGAGAAGTACATGGGTCCTCTTCCCTACGGCAACCTGGATGTTGGTACCTACAACTATGGTGGTCGCCTGATCCCCCGTTCTGTTCTGGACTCCAACGTGACTCCCTTGGTCTCTGCTCTCCGCAACATCACCAGCGAGGGTATCATCGCTGTCGGAGTTGGTCTCAACGTGACCAGCTCCAACGACGTCGCCAACGCTATCTTCCCCGAGTGGCGCAAGGCGGCCGTGACCATGCAGATTGGTGCTGCGTGGAACGAGACTGCCCCTTGGTCTCAGATGGTCGAGGAGCAGTACCAGATGACCCACCAGGCTGTGCCGCAGCTCGAGGCCGCCACTCCCGGCGCTGGTGCTTACCAGAACGAGGCGGACTTCAACCAGCTGAACTGGCAGGAGACCTTCTTCGGCTCCAACTACGACAACCTGACCCAGATCAAGAACAAGTGGGATCCTGACCACGTGTTCTATGTTCTCAAGGGTGTGGGCAGTGAGTACTGGACCGTGTCGGAGTCGGGCCGTATGTGCAAGGCTTGAATGTCTGTATATGTGTCTTTAAGGATTGCCTTGTCTTCTGGGATGTATATAATGATCGATGTGAAATATAGATTAATTAATTATAGACTCGGATTGCATTTGTCGAGACATCGTTGTTATCAGAAGGATTCGGTCGCTTGAATTTCCAATATGCGTAGGGCATGCTGGTAATGTTACCGTCGATCTACTCTTCCACGTGAAGACGTACTGTTCAATGCCATGGTTTTGACATTGAACATACTCTGCAACCATCCAAATATAGCGAGAATAAGCCAGAATACATGGGATACGTAAGTCTTGTGCTGCTGCTGCTGCTGCTGCTGCTGCTGAAGTGGTGATTAATGATTTCATGGGCGGCTAGGAAAAGCCTGCCGGACATGAGCTGTCAATTCCACTGCTGAATTGTAAGCCACTAATCAATGTGATCCAACATCATGCAGAAATATCGAGTGCCTGCCTTCCTGCAACATACGTCAAGGGTCCAAATCCATCAATAAACGATTGTGCTGCATGATCAGCCTCAATTAACCGAAATGGAAGACAGGAGATTAAGAGGACAATCCATTGCGCGTCCGGTGGCCATCGACCACCAATCAAGGGGTCTAGCCCCCTCTCCGCCTACCGGAACAGGCAAGAACCATCACCGCCCGGGGGATGATCCGACAAATCGAGTCCACTCAACTATACTGCCTTGAGGCCAGTCCCTCCTCTTCTTCCCTTCTCTGTGCCGTCCCTGTTTTAATATCTCTTTGCCCCCTCCCCCCGCTTTCTGCGATGTTTTATATTCTTCTTGACCGTTGCTGTCTTCTCTACAGTTGACTTCTGTCATTCTTTCGACCAGTCCTTCCCTCCGCCCTCTGGGGATACGCTCTTTTACCCCCCTCCCCCGTATAACCGTCTGTATATACAACATACCCACAAATCGCCGATGATCGATAATCGACCAGCATGATCCGCACACTCGCCCTCGCCAGCAGCGCGGCGCTGCAACTTCTCCTCTTCCTTGCACCCCCGACCGCGGCCGACAATTTCCCGTATGTCGGATACCGAACCGCGGCGTTCCTGCCCCCCCAACTCAAAGTCACCAAGACCGGCGCCACGGACCCGGGGTACATCTTCGTCGGGCCGCGGGGCAACCAAGGGCTGGGGACGGCGGCGCTGATCTACGACGAAGACGGGCAGCTGGTGTACGAGGGCCCGCCGGAGGTGACGGCCAACTTCCGGACGCAGCGGCTGTACAACGAGGACGTGCTGACGTTCTGGGCGGGGGACATGACGGACCTGGGGTTCGGGTACGGGACGGTGCACATCCTCGACAACACGTACCGGGAGATCTACACGGTGACGCTGGGGGGCAACTTCGTGTCGCCGTTCGCGGAGCCCCGCGACTCGTACATCGACCTCCACGAGAGCCACATCACGGACCGCAATACGCTGCTGGTGACCGCGTACAACGTCACGCAGCACGACCTGACGGCCATCGGGGGCGCGCCGGACGACTACATGCTGGACGGCATGTTCTTTGAGATCGATATCGCCACGAATGAGATCGTGTATGCGTGGAGCGCGCTGGAGCATCTCGCGGAGATTCCGTTGGAGATCTCGAAGCAGGGGCTCGGCGCCGAGTACGGCACCAAGGAGAAGCCGTGGGATGCGTATCATATCAATTCGGTGGAGTTGATGGACGAGGGGTATATCATCTCGTTGCGGCATTACTGGTCCGGGTTTTACATTCACAATAATGGCACGGTGATGTGGCGGCTTAGTGTAAGTGCATCCTGATCTTCGTGCTTGAGTTGAGTTCCTTCGATGTGTGAGGTCTAACCTCGTCCAGGGGGAGAAGAACACGGGCGACTTCGAGATCGATGACAAGGCGGCCTTCTCGTGGCAGCATGACATCCGCGTCTACAATCAGACGGCCGAGGGCATGGTGCTGAGCCTGTTCAACAACGCCAACACGCCGACGGAGACGGTGGCGGCGACGACGGGGCTGAGCTTCTACGTCGACCTGGTCGCCCACAAGGTGTCGACGCTGCGCGCGCTGTCGGACGCCGGTGACGTGATCCACAGCGTCAGCCAGGGCAGCTTCCAGCTGCTCAGCCCGGAGTCCGGGCATGTGGTGCTGGGGTACGGGTCGATCGCGCGGGTCAAGGAGTACGACGCGCAGGGCCGGGCGGTGCTGACGGCGCAGTTTGGCGAGGACAACGCGGTGGCCTCGTACCGCGGGTTCAAGTGCCCGTGGAAGGCGACGCCGTTCTGGCCGCCGGCGGTGGTGGCGATCCGCACGTCGGACGACCAGGCGACGGTGTCGATGAGCTGGAACGGGGCCACAGAGTACGACAACTGGGCGATCTACGAGGTGGCGACGGACGGGGAGGCGAGTTTCGTGAAGAGCGTGCCGCGGGCGGGGTTCGAGACGACGGTGCATTTGAGCGGGCTGACGAGTCGGTCGATGCAGGTGGTCGCGCGCGAGGGGAATATCCCGTTGGGCATGTCGGCGGTGATAGATGTGTAGGGTGTATAGATGCATAGCTAGAGCTAGACTCGCTGCTGCACAGTGTACATTAGACTGTACCTTTTAATTGGAAAGACACCTTAGATGCTGCTTACCTTTTCTGTTATACTCTGCCCCACACTTCTATGCTTGTACTCCACTAGAGCTTCTGTACAACCGATGAAGGAGCACAGTCGAACCGACAGTTACAACTGACGTCGGCCATGTCGTAACCGTACATGAGTAGAATCGCACAGTGATCCGAGCCGTCCGACGTGTCCAGCTGTATAGCATACGCATACACTATTCACTGGAAAGAATGAGCTATACGTACGGTACAGTGAAGCTATATAAACACCTTCGCCTCCAGCTCATACACAATACACAACTACACACCTCATTCCACCACCAAGCCCTAACCAACCAACCAACCAACCAACCAACCAACCTTCAACACAACAAGCACACAACCACCCTCTCACCTCCTCCTTATAACCCCAAACCCTCAACCCAACCCCAACCCCCAAAAATGCACCTCTTAACCCTCCTCCTCCCCCTCACAACAACAACAACAACAACCGCAACCCCCCTCCCAACTTCCCAAATCAGACCCGCCAACGCCACAATCCACAACGCATGCCCCTTCCCCATCTACCTAACGCCAGTCTCCTCGACGACACCCCCGGAAACCTGTCTGCCCCAAAACACCACCTGGACGGAACCCTACCGCCACGACGCGCAGACCGGCGGGATCAGCCTGAAGCTCACCACCGTCCCGAACGGGCTGTACACGGGCGCGCCGCAGACCATCTTCGCGTACAACTACCTCGAGCGGCCGGGCCAGGTGTGGTTTGATCTGTCGGATGTGTTTGGGGATCCGTTCAGGGGTTATAAAGTTAGGCTGGGGCCGATGCCGGTGGGGCCGGGGAATGGAACTGCACCGCCGCCGCCGGGGAATGCGTCGGAGATGATTGTGTGGGAGGATGGGGTGCCGCCCCGGGGTAGTCAGGTGAGGGTTGTGGGGGGGGGAGG